AGTTGGGCGCAGCGAGGGCTGGGCTGCCTGAGTGGGTGGGGTGGGGGGCCGCCGCGGCCGCCCGGAGAAGCAGAGCCGGCGGCAGGCGGGGAGCGCGCACAACGCGGCTGCCCCTCAACAGCCGCGGGGCGAACCGGGAGACCCCTGTGCCCAGCCTCCAGGCCCCCGCCCCTTCGCGGTCTCCGCCTCCTTTCTCACACACCCCCCGGGCCGCCCAGGCCCCAGGCCTTCCCGGCGCTCCTCCTCTTCTCCTCACGCTCGCTCTCCGACCGGAGTCCTCCTGCCGCCCGCCGGCCTTGCTCCCTCTGGGGCGAATTCCTCTCAGGCTTTCCTTTCACACACACGCGCGCGCGCGCTCGTTGGGCCGCCCCCTCCTCTCCCGCCCTCCTCCTCGTCCTTGCTAACGCTGCCGTCGGGGGAAGATTGATGTCCCTTCAGCATCATGCAGCCACCGCCGAGGAAGGTATGGGCGCAGCTGGAGGGCTTTGGGGTTTTGGGGGGTTGCCCACAAGGAATGAGGTTGGGGCGACCGCTACGCCTCCTCCCCCTTCCCGCAAGGGGCTGTGACCGCCTTCGCCTTGGGCTTGTCACCGAGTTGCCGCTGGCTCCATGCGGGGGGCGCGAGTGTGAGGTGCCTTTCCGATGGAGGGGCGGCCGGGGCTAGTCCCCTCCACTGCGCTGGACACCACCCAGACATTTCACAAGAGTTTCGGTGTGCATTTGTGTGTATGCGCGCGCGCATGGCAATACTGCCCGCTGCAAAGTGCATTCTCGGGGCTGCACCAAGGGGAGGTGGGGGAGCCCCTGCAGCTTTGCAGAGCCTTGTGCGTGTGTGATTGTTTAGTCTGCACCAGGTTTGAGTCCTCCGGCCGCTTGTTGCCTCCCCTCTCGTTTGCAAAATTGTGGGAGATTTATTTCAAGCCTAGCCTTAAAGGTTTGGCCTGCTTTTCCCACGGGGCGGCCGAAAAGAAGTTGGGATAGTCACCGCTCCCCTACCCCCAGGGGAAAACAAATTAAGGATGGACGGGTCTTTCCTTTCTCTCCTACCCTCCGCCCGCACCCTGGCCAGGGGGCTAGGAGGTAGTGGTGCTGTACTCGGGAAAGCGAGAACCGGGCGGTGCGTGGCTTGTGCATTGCGATCTGGGCTTGGATGGCCAGGGTGGGAGTGACGGGTGCTCCGGGCTTGTCAGCAATTTCCCTGCTGCTCCCTTCCCCAGCTTTCCTAGGGGCCGAGTCTGTGTCCTTGTCTTTTTAGTCCTGCAGATGGATACTGAGTGTCTACTCGGGGCACTGGGTGGAGGAGGCTTCTATCCTCCCCTCGTGGGCAAATATGCCCAATGCCCAATTTACTCGTGTCTGCTTCCTCTTCTTTCTTAATCCGGATTTCTCCAGTTAAGTGAGCCTTTTTCTTTCGCACACGTATCCCACCGCTCGGGGTAGTCCCGCTCTGGCAGCCAGGATCCCAGATCCACCTTAATCTCAACCCTGGGGTCCCGGCCTGGCCGGCTATGCTCTGACCAGCTGGTATTTGCGGCTCAGCTCTGTTTGAAGTGGAGCCGCCACGGGGACCGACTTGCTGGGGTAGTTTAAAAGCACTGCATATGCTGGAAGGTCACTTTTGCTTTCTCCTTTGTGAGAAAGAGATTGTGATTTGATCCACTGTCAGTGAGTCGAGGGCATCATCCTGAGACAGTGTGCTTTTTCGCAGCCATTATGGAATAATTTATATAGTCTATTCATGCATATTAGTTCATGATTGTGTAAATTTCGGTCATTAGTTATTAGATATTCTTATACTCCCTTCTTCCGTCTTCACTGTTCTAACCTCTTATGGTGGTTAATATCTTTGAATCCTTTTTGGAAGAAATGAAGGCAGGCTCTTTTAAAACTCTAAGACCTAGTACTGGGCTTGTGCATGAAAAGGAATGACTGTCAGTTTATTTTGCACCTCTTTAATCTGTAATTTTTGTACTCAGATTTTTCATTTAGCCTCTTTCAGATTATTTGGTTAGTTTTTTCTTTAAGTAAGTATCTTCAGTAAATAAAACTAGATGGCTGATAATGGTTTATGGTCTTCAGGGGAGTAGCGAGGAAGAAGTATATTCTGATAAATATTAAGTATTTTCCTTAAGTAATTTTTTAAAGTTATAGTAAGGCCTTCATAAATATATGGTATATTTTAGGTGAAAGTTACACAAGAACTGAAAAACATTCAAGTTGAGCAGATGGCAAAACTTCAAGCCAAACATCAAGCAGAATGTGATTTGCTTGAAGATATGAGGTAAGGTTATAGTAAATAGTTTGAGAACTTCTGTATCTCTATTTCAAAGAACTTTTGAGTTACCAAGCCCCAGGAACTGATGATGGAATTTCCTTTTGGATTTCCTGCTTTAAGGCTGTTAGAACTTTGACTCAGCTGGAAATTATAACTGGAACTAACACAATACAAACTTTTTTTCTTTCAGTGGGGGAACTATAATGTACACCAGGGCCTTAAAAATCTGTCAGTCAAATTATAATTATTGAAGTAAAAATTCTTATTTAAATAATCTTTTCACTGAATTGTAACAATTTTTTACTGACTTTAAGAATTTTATACAGTTAGATTTTTAAACTGACACCTGTGGTTAATGGTTAATATCTGGGGTTGAGTCAGTCAGCTTCAGATGATTATATACTAGCACTGTTTGTTAGAATATGACAGATATAACTTTGTCTTTGAATGTTAGATTTAGTGAGAAGTGTGTTTATCATATTTTATTTTATTATTAAAGTTACCTGTATTCATAATCAAGATAACTTTGAATTTAATAGATAAGACATCTTGCTAACATTGTGAAAATCAATACCTTTCTTTATGGAGGGAAGCATGACATTTTATTGCAAGAAATACCACTTATTTAACAATCCTTTAATATAAACTGGCAGGTCAACAAATATATTTATGTAAAGGATGGAAGATGATTTGCATGTTGAAACAGAGTGGCTGCAATTCTTATTTCCCTTTAGTAATACATTTATCAAATTGGAATTGGGTCTGTAAGCCTCGTCAGTTGCCTGTTTTTTCCTTTGGTGTACAAACTTCATATTGGTTTCATGAAAATATTAACTATATGTTATGATAAAATTATATGTTTGGATAGCTGAATTGTTTATAGCCTAAAGATTTTAGTTTAGAGTTCCTTTTTCCTCCCCTATATTTAACTTAGGTACTATTTATGAGCATTTCAGCTGTATACCTGTCTTTTTAGGGTTTCTGACTATGGCATATAAATCTATGTTCATCCAATTTGAATATACCACGATTGTTGTTTCCTGACTGAAAAGTGCTCTATTTTAGTTGTTTTTTTGTTTTGTTTTTTTTTATTTCATGTGGCCATATGGAAGTTTTTAGATTTAAAAATTTCTTTGCAAGATATCTGAAACTCTTCATATGGTTAAAAATTCAAGATTTTTAACATCTGTTAAGTGAACTAAGGTATTTTAGTAGAAATCTCTAAATGAAGGAAGTAACCAATTTTCAGAAGCAGTTCAGGAAGGCAAAATTAGTGTGTAAGTGAAGATCCCATGTTGAGTGTGGGTCGTCAGTGGCATTAAGTGCTGTTGATTGCATCTTTTAAAGACTTCTTGATTGCATTCTTTTCTCTTTTTTCCCTTTTGCCTGTATCTTGGTGCAGGAGCTTATGATCAAGAATATGGACATTGGAGTGTTCAGGCTACTAGCAGTGCTGGCTTTTGGAAAACAACATACTTTTTCTAAACTTCAGTTTTTCTCATTGTAAAATGGGGTAATACTGGTCTCTATTCATAAGAATTGTGCATATCAAATGACAGTGCATATGGATGAGGCACACATCTAAGCTAAGTTTATGTAGGTTGTTGCTCTTGCTGCTCCTGTTTGGTTGTATGTATTATTGCTGATCTGTCACATTTCACTTGCCTCATTACAGTAATATCCTAATTATTGCAGTAATGTCCTCATATCTTCTGTCCCCCAATCTCTCCTTTTAAATGACTTCCACATCGCCACCATTTAGCCTTCTAAAAAGTTTATTATATATCAGCCGTCTATAGCCTTCTGGATAAAGGCCAAACACCTTGTCATAGTATGTATCGCTCTCTGCAGTCTAGCTACAAGCTTCCTTTCTTGGCTTAATTATTACCATTTCATGCCTATGCATCCTTCCTCTTTATTCCCCCTGCTCTGTCCAATCAGGACGTCTGATTATCTAATTGTGAACTCTACATTCATACCTTTGTATGTACTATTCCCTTTGCCTGTTGATACCCTTCCTCCCACTTCTTCACCTGACAGATTTTGGTTACCAGTAACTGCAAGTTTGTTGTTTTCTGTGATCACAAAGGGTATTGATTTTACATATACTTCTGGCTTTCCCTCTCATGTGAATTCTTTGAGGCTAAGGGCTGTTATTCATTTTTATATCTTTGTACCCTTTGTTTAGGCTGGTAGAATTGTCAAAGCAATGTAACTGGTTATATTTAAGTGTACCTTATTTATTCTTAGGTGAGATATTTTCTAAGCTTTGTGGGGGTGTGGGCACTTTAAATATACTATGCTATTTGATGTGGAGTATATCTCTATATAATATGCAAATGCAGAGATTGTTGGTGCTTCAAGGGTTAACAAATTCTTTAGTATTTTAAAGGAGTCAGTGTGTTCTATTTGTATTAAATTAATGGAATGAATCCCTTTACTCCATATAGTTATGAATAGAATAGTGTATTACCTGCTAAAACTTAAGTTTAGATTCGCGATTTACTTTTTTTTCAATGATAATATTGAATTGAAAGTTGAAACTTGCATACTCTTGGTATTCATGATAACTTTAGTTGCTTGAGGAGGGAGGTGGTCAGGCTTTATTGGTTTGTTCTAGCAAGTGGAATGACCTTTTAAAACTTCATTAGAAATTTCTGAACTTGTTTTTATATGCATTATGTTGTAAAGGATATTGTCTGCATTTCCTTCTTGAGGCTTCCACTTCTGTTTTCTCTGAAACCCCACATACAGTGCTCCTTGTTGCTAGTCTCCCCCCACCTGTTTTATGCTCAATTTGAGTTAGTGTGAATTCACTCAGAAAAGTGCAAATAGCATTGGGGTGGGAGGGGGGAGAGGGAGGGGGGGGAAAGGGAAGAATTGGTCAAGGGCCATTAAAATCAACTACATTGTATATTGATAAATTTTTTAAAAAAAGAGAAGTGCAGATAGCTTTTTATTTTTATTTTTTATTTTTAATTGACAGTGTACATATTTATGGGTATAGTGTGATGTTTCAATACATGTATACATTGTGTAAAAATCAAATCCGGGTATTAGCATATCCATCACCTCATATATTTATCTTTTCTTTGAGGTAAGTACATTCAAAATCCTCTTTTCTAGCTATTTGAAATATGCAGTACAATGTTGTTAACCATAGTCACCCACTTTTTATTCTTAATGTAAAGAAATTAGTAGACAAAGAAAAGTTTTTGACTTTAAAAAAAGTTAAAAAGAAAAACAAAAACAGAACTCCACAAAGCATTAAGCTGTAAATAGAAGAATTTTATGCTGGATTATGGCTAGTTCCCACCCTCTACACCCCCCCCACCCCCCGCGTCATCTTCTGGAATTTTGAGGGGAGGAGACCAATTATGATATAATTTTTTTCCTTTGCTTTCCTCCCCTTCAATTCTTTTGTTCCAGGGACGCATTTGGAAGCTGGTGCATTGGGAGTGAAGTATGAGAAGGAAAGATAACTCATTTGTTGTTAATCATGAACATTCCATGCTTTGGGGAGATTTTATACTGATGTGTTTCCTGTTGACTTTTGCTGTCATCGCTAGACAAGCTCATTTTTCTTTCTTTTTAGTTTATTATTACTTTTTTCTCTCTTTGCTTTTTAAGGCCACTTACAAGTAAGTGTCTAGAAACTGGAGCCTATGTACTTTTCTCCTTAATATTGTTTATCCTTATGATATGCTAAGTAGAGTCAGTTAAGAAAGGTTTTTTTCGGGGACCCAGAATATAAAGAACTATCTTCTCAGCAGATATTTTTAGGATATGGAAAAATCATCAAATTTTAGAGTCAGGTGGATGCTATCATGTTTGTTCATTTTATAGATAAAAGTGGAAACTGAGACATAGCGAGATGAAGTGAATCACATTGATGAGGACTATGAGCTATTTCTCCTACTTTTCAGACTAGCTCTCTCCCCTATGTCTGTGTTTCTCAAGCTTTTAACCACAGAACTCATCATGGGTCCTATATTTGAAATATTTTGCCTATCAAAAAGTACATTATTAACTAATAATTTGTTTTCTTTAAAAATTTTTTTTAATACATTGAATTGTCAATCAGCTTTGAATCAGTATTTTATTGTCTTTTTTTTTTTTTTTTTTTTTTTTGTGACAGGTAAGGGGATCGCAACCCTTGGCTTGGTGTTGTCAGCACCATGCTCAGTCAGCGAGCTAACCAGCCACTCCCATATGGGATCCGAACCCGTGGCCTTGGTGTTATCAGCACTACACTCTCCCGAGTGAGCCATGGGCCGGCCCCTGAATCAGTATTTTAAAACCACTAACATGAGTCTAGCCAAAGGCAAAGACACTTAAAACTTTACCTCAGAAAAGACTGAATATATGATTCCTTGCAGATGTTCTGAAAAATTAGATCTATCTCAAGAGGCACCTGTCCTACATTGGCAGACACCTGGGGGTCTAGAGACCTCAAGTGAGGAATTACTGTACTGTATGTTACTTTCTCTGAACTGTAGTTTCATGGGAATCACTGGAGATTAGATTCTGAAGTCTGTTTATGGGTGCTCTGAGACTTTGTTTTTTATTGTTTTATAGACTCTTATGTCTAGAAAGAGATCTTAGAGGTAATCTGATCTAGAGTTTTTTAAAAACAGCTTTATTGATACATAACTTACATATCATGTAAATTACATGATATAACTACATATCACTTATGATTATATATCATATGAGAGTACTACAAAAAGTTTGTGGAAAAATAGAATTAAAAGATAATATGAATCTTACCATGAAACTTTTTGAAGTACCCTCACATATGATTACATATCATACAATGAAACCGATTTAAAGTGTACCATTCAATGTTTTTTAGTATATTTATAGGGTTGTACAACTATCACCACAATTTAACTTTAAAACATTTTTGTTCCCCCAAAAGAAACTCTGTACCCATTAACAGTCCTTCCCCATCACCTTCTCCAGCCTTAAGCAACCAGTAATCTACTTTCTGTCTCTAGAAATGG